ACTTGGAACACCTAACACTTTGGGCTGTGCTTTTCTATTTTTCATTTGTTTTCTTGAATACTACCACTTCCGCCCCCCTTTCCCCCCAAAACAATGTTGAAAGTATAGAAAAATATCAAACAATCCACAAGAAAAAGCGTACTCCATAACCCCTCTCTTTTTTCTAAAGTAAATCAACATTGTTCCTAGGGGGAGAGGGGGATGGCTGAATTTGCCTTTGAAAACCTACGTTAGTGTTCCAAGACTTTTGGCAGTGATTGTCTGAAGACAATTTCGAAAACCAATGGTTATGACAGGAAAAGTTGGTCTTACTATAGGGTTTTCGATGGTGCTGAATTCATTGGTGCAAATAAAAATTCGAAATTTTTACTCGCAATGTAGTTTTTGGGGGGTGTGGGGGTGGGAGAGGCCTGTATAGAGGGCTTCTACGGTTGACTCTGCAGCTTTCTCTTATAGCAATGATATACTTCAATTTTTTGTTAATATCATCACAACTATCCTTATATAACAAACCTTAGCACAGAATGATTGGATAGAATAAAATTACCATGTAAAAAGCAAAAACAGTACACTGCAGAACTTTTTAAGAAATGTGTTTTACAAGCAACTTCCGTTCTTTACGGCTCTATTTATTAATTGAAGAAGATGAAATACGTAGGTTTTTCTATAAATAAGTAACTTTATATGATATTGAATAAAATGCTAGTAGGAGATTCAAATGACTCGTCTTCATTTATCATAACCCTTCCAAAACATTCCAAAACTATGCAGGACTTGAATTGAAAGCACGCTCCTTCGCATTTACGCGTGGCAACAAGGTAGTGCTCAAAGATACCCCATCCTACCCTCTTCATTTCTGTTCTTTCTTTGTCTCACTAATGCAAAATAATGTGTGTCAATTATGTTTCTGTGTCCGTCATTATCAACGTATGCGAGGAATTAGGAGAGCCTTCGTTCCCAAATGTGAATGCTGTGTAGTATGAGAATGTCTACTGCCCACGGTTAACAGTCACGGTCTACACTTTTTAAAATGTTTATAAAAATCGTACTGTTCAATAAAAATAGACGATAGTTTGCCAGCATGTGTGCAATGTGTTTTTACAGGTGTCTGTAGCCTTTCAGCTTCATTCCAGTTACAAAACTCCAGAAATGCAGGAAAATGTCCACGGTTAACACTTTTCTGAAGAAGGAATTTCAAGAACTCAAGATCTTTTCTCGTTTCAAGTGTTAACCGTGGGATTTTTCTAAAATCTTGCCGTTTTCATCACGGAATTCATGCAAAACTTAGTCCTACATGTAAGTTAAATTATGACACACCTTTGTGGTAAATTTGGGGGCAAAAATGCTGTTGACCATAGAGAAAACTGCAAAAAGCCTCCACGGTTAACAGTACGGTTTACAGTTTCTCATATCTGTGAACGACAGTGGGCTTGCGGGGCCTTGCCTCTGACAAGGATGCATTTTGCATTGGGTGATGAAATGTGTTTTGGTATGCTAAATGACAGGCAAACAAAAGCAGCAAGTTATTATTGTTGAAATAATCGGTCCAGCGCTTTTATGGATAAAAAAGAGGGAGGCACAGTCATGGTTGCAATGGCATTTTGGCAAAACAGTGGAAGCAGAAACGGAGCCTTTACTTGGCGTGCAACTAAAACTGGAATTTTAGGGCGCAGAAGTATGAGTAGACGTCAGTTGTACTTTAGCTCTTTTAAAGGCCAACGTGGAATCGTAGATAAGCCTGTTGAGAGCTCATTTGCGGGGAAAACGGGGTTCTTCTCTACGAGTTTGATATGTTCCTTGAAAATTTCCATTTGGGCAGTGAAATACATAGGAACAACTTGTGACAGCGGCAGCTTGTAAATTCGTGGTTAAATCATGGCAGCTACCCAACATAATTCTTAAATAAGACTTTTTCTACAATTTTAGAAATGCAAAAGAAAAATCGACTTTCATCTTTTAAAATGGCACCCTTTCTTTTTTCAAGTATTTTACTAGCTGCTACCCTGTAATCATGTATTTCTTCTGTCCCATTATTTTATTAATGTTCAAATATCCATGAAGTTTCAAATAATTTAAAAATGTCATTTTGACCATTCTGATCAGAAATCAATTTTAATTTTCTCAATTTAAACCATTTTTGAAACATGGTACCTAGTTCTATGAGGGTAGCTTACCCCAGCCCCTGAAAACAAAGAATACCCCCATATCTCCTTATTAGTAATACGTACGGTTCTGAAAATGCCGTAAATGGACTCAGCACCATCGAAAACCTATGGGTAGACATAACATGTGATAGTGTATCTGATAAGCTTCAAATTTCCATTCAGACAATCACTGCCAAAATTACTTGGAACACCTAACACTTTGGGCTGTGCTTTTCTATTTTTCATTTGTTTTCTTGAATACTACCACTTCCGCCCCCTTTCCCCCCAAAACAATGTTGAAAGTATAGAAAAATATCAAACAATCCACAAGAAAAAGCGTACTCCATAACCCCTCTCTTTTTTCTAAAGTAAATCAACATTGTTCCTAGGGGGAGAGGGGGATGGCTGAATTTGCCTTTGAAAACCTACGTTAGTGTTCCAAGCCTTTTGGCAGTGATTGTCTGAAGACAATTTCGAAAACCAATGGTTATGACAGGAAAAGTTGGTCTTACTATAGGGTTTTCGATGGTACTGAATTCATTGGTGCTAATAAAAATTCGAAATTTTTACTCGCAATGTAGTTTTTGGGGGGTGGTGGGGGTGGGAGAGGCCTGTATAGAGGGCTTCTACGGTTGACTCTGCAGCTTTCTCTTATAGCAATGATATACTTCAATTTTTTGTTAATATCATCACAACTATCCTTATATAACAAACCTTAGCACAGAATGATTGGATAGAATAAAATTACCATGTAAAAAGCAAAAACAGTACACTGCAGAACTTTTTAAGAAATGTGTTTTACAAGCAACTTCCGTTCTTTACGGCTCTATTTATTAATTGAAGAAGATGAAATACGTAGGTTTTTCTATAAATAAGTAACTTTATATGATATTGAATAAAATGCTAGTAGGAGATTCAAATGACTCGTCTTCATTTATCATAACCCTTCCAAAACATTCCAAAACTATGCAGGACTTGAATTGAAAGCACGCTCCTTCGCATTTACGCGTGGCAACAAGGTAGTGCTCAAAGATACCCCATCCTACCCTCTTCATTTCTGTTCTTTCTTTGTCTCACTAATGCAAAATAATGTGTGTCAATTATGTTTCTGTGTCCGTCATTATCAACGTATGCGAGGAATTAGGAGAGCCTTCGTTCCCAAATGTGAATGCTGTGTAGTATGAGAATGTCTACTGCCCACGGTTAACAGTCACGGTCTACACTTTTTAAAATGTTTATAAAAATCGTACTGTTCAATAAAAATAGACGATAGTTTGCCAGCATGTGTGCAATGTGTTTTTACAGGTGTCTGTAGCCTTTCAGCTTCATTCCAGTTACAAAACTCCAGAAATGCGGGAAAATGTCCACGGTTAACACTTTTCTGAAGAAGGAATTTCAAGAACTCAAGATCTTTTCTCGTTTCAAGTGTTAACCGTGGGATTTTTCTAAAATCTTGCCGTTTTCATCACGGAATTCATGCAAAACTTAGTCCTACATGTAAGTTAAATTATGACACACCTTTGTGGTAAATTTGGGGGCAAAAATGCTGTTGACCATAGAGAAAACTGCAAAAAGCCTCCACGGTTAACAGTACGGTTTACAGTTTCTCATATCTGTGAACGACAGTGGGCTTGCGGGGCCTTGCCTCTGACAAGGATGCATTTTGCATTGGGTGATGAAATGTGTTTTGGTATGCTAAATGACAGGCAAACAAAAGCAGCAAGTTATTATTGTTGAAATAATCGGTCCAGCGCTTTTATGGATAAAAAAGAGGGAGGCACAGTCATGGTTGCAATGGCATTTTGGCAAAACAGTGGAAGCAGAAACGGAGCCTTTACTTGGCGTGCAACTAAAACTGGAATTTTAGGGCGCAGAAGTATGAGTGGACGTCAGTTGTATTTTAGCTCTTTTAAAGGCCAACGTGGAATCGTAGATAAGCCTGTTGAGAGCTCATTTGCGGGGAAAACGGGGTTCTTCTCTACGAGTTTGATATGTTCCTTGAAAATTGCCATTTGGGCAGTGAAATGCATAGGAACAACTTGTGACAGCGGCAGCTTGTAAATTCGTGGTAAAATCATGGCAGCTACCCAACATAATTCTTAAATAAGACTTTTTCTACAATTTTAGAAATGCAAAAGAAAAATCGACTTTCATCTTTTAAAATGGCACCCTTTCTTTTTTCAAGTATTTTACTAGCTGCTACCCTGTAATCATGTATTTCTTCTGTCCCATTATTTTATTAATGTTCAAATATCCATGAAGTTTCAAATAATTTAAAAATGTCATTTTGACCATTCTGATCAGAAATCAATTTTAATTTTCTCAATTTAAACCATTTTTGAAACATGGTACCTAGTTCTATGAGGGTAGCTTACCCCAGCCCCTGAAAACAAAGAATACCCCCATATCTCCTTATTAGTAATACGTACGGTTCTGAAAATGCCGTAAATGGACTCAGCACCATCGAAAACCTATGGGTAGACATAACATGTGATAGTGTATCTGATAAGCTTCAAATTTCCATTCAGACAATCACTGCCAAAATTACTTGGAACACCTAACACTTTGGGCTGTGCTTTTCTATTTTTCATTTGTTTTCTTGAATACTACCACTTCCGCCCCCCTTTCCCCCAAAACAATGTTGAAAGTATAGAAAAATATCAAACAATCCACAAGAAAAAGCGTACTCCATAACCCCTCTCTTTTTTCTAAAGTAAATCAACATTGTTCCTAGGGGGAGAGGGGGATGGCTGAATTTGCCTTTGAAAACCTACGTTAGTGTTCCAAGACTTTTGGCAGTGATTGTAGCCATATTACCGGCTGTGGTTTGTGCACAAGTGGTGAGGTTTGTGTTAGGGTAGAATAAGGTTAAAGAGAGAGATTGATGGACTTTCAAGTTCTGAGTTACAATGCTTGTATAGCGAAAATGATAGGCTATGTTATTTATAAAATTGAAATGATTTGATATCAAGTCTCATCGATCGTTTCAAGCTGCAACCTACGAAAGCAGCATATGGAGAAGGAAGCAATGCTTGTCTCTAAGGTCATTCTAAGACAATTTTGGCTTTATGATTGCTAGATAAGTTGGGTTTAATAGGCTGACGATTGAAGGTAGCAATGCTTGTCTCTAAGGTGATTCTAAGATAATTTTGGCTTTATGATTGCTAGATAAGTTGGGTTTAATAGGCTGACGATTGAAGGAAGCAATGCTTGTCTCTAAGGTCATTCTAAGATAAATTTGGCTTTATGATTGCTAGATAAGTTGGGTTTAATAGGCTGATGATTTACACTGTTTTCTTTTGTTTTAAGAGAATCTGGTGTCGTAGAAGCTAGAGAGGTCATTATTACGTTTTGAAAAACCTCTGTTAAGAATTTGTCATTTTAGCATCCAGCTAAAAAGCTTTCTCTTTTAATTCTAGATTAACCAACGAATTTCCGTAACTTTTCTTATTCCAATGCAAGCTGGCATAAACCAAATAAATTACCTGGTAAGTTTAAGGTTTAACATCTGGATGACGTCTGCAATGTTATCAACTGTCTCTCAGTCCTAGAAAAAAAGGTCATTGTGCGAATCTTATTATTGTGCTGAATGCAATTAATAATACTTTGATAATCAACCTGACCCAAAATGATGATTTTCAGGGAAGACATTAGCAATGGCACTAGGGGAATATTTGGTACCTTCCTGCTATTTTTGATATAGTAATTTCATTAAGCAGAGCCTTATCTAATCGCCACATAAAAACATCTAGAGAGGGTATTTTAGACATTAAAACTGATGAGAGACCACGAGTAGCTGAATATCAGTAGCTGAATACATGAATAAGAACAACATTTTTCGTTTAGTTCTTGTCTCGTGGGAAAATCGTTAAAACTGGTGTCATCCAAAAACAAATTGGAACAGAAACTACTTTGAATGTTGACATTACAGCAGATATGGCACCTAAATGCAGAATACTGGCCTTTTTCGTTAGAAATGGAGAAATGGCCTCTGACTCAGTTTTGATGGACGTCGAGAATGGTTATAAAAACGAGGTAAGCAATGCTTTCAGACTTTACAGACGCGTAACGTTTAGTAACAGTTTCGTATTTCTTGCAATGCTATACTAAGTCTTGGTAATGCTAATCGCTACCGGTTCCTTTCCCGAATATGTTTGAAGAATTGTTTGTTGTTGTTTATTGTTTATCGAATATATGAAGAATTGGTTCATTAGACCATTTTGCATATTTATTTCAATCTCATTTGTTATTGTATAAAGAATTGCAGGTTCAAGCTTCCCTCGTTTTGCAGGTTCTTCTTAATACAGACCCAGCTCCAGACCAAACATTTCGCCCCGGGCAAGACCTCGCTGTCAAAATGAAGACCAGCACAAAATCAGTCGTTGGCTTATTAGCAGTCGACCAAAGTATTTACTATCTAAGAAACGAGAGTAGAGTTACAAATGAGAAGGTAATCTCTCTCTAACAAAAGTATACGCGACCCAAGTCATCTTTAGCATTGTTTTGTGGCACAGAGCCCAGGGTAATGCATGAAAATATTATCTGTGGAATCTTTTCCCACAATCTCAAGCCCTTTTTAAGTGTAAAATCAATTTTAATGAGATTGCTGGCAGCACTAATAGCCTGTGGATTGTAATTGGCACGGTTTCCTCAGTCAATGGTGTACATCCTTGAGTCCATAGTCCACACTATCTCTGGTAATGTAAGCAATACCTTTTATATCTTTGTGATTTTCAATCCTTTAGCTGAATACCTTTGACGAAAGATGATAAAAAGATATGTTTTGCACTTGTTCTGACTTTCAGGTATTCAGTGATATAGGTTCATTTGATTTGGGATGTGGACTTGGTTCAGGACGAAACAACAAAGACGTTTTTGATGTGAGTTGTATCACTGATAGCACCTTTAATCTGCATTTTCATAGCCGATGCCAATTAGCAATTATCATTAAAGATACTAAAATTTTAAAGAATAACGTAGAAACTGTTAAGTGCAATAAACACTTCGATAAACGACACAGAGCAAGTCAGACTCAGAGGAACTAAATATGCTTAATGCTACCTACATCCGTTTTTGTTACAGGTTGTATTTGTTACTTTCTAGCTTCCGAAAATATGTTTAAGATTACTGAAAAGCTATGTTTATCGAGCAGTGTCCTTCCTTGTCCTTCTTCTTCTCATTCCTCCAATGCTCTCTGAGTTGCAACCCTAATCATTGAGCTATCCTCGCACAAACGAATATCATTTTGATTTTAAGACACGTTATTTGAGTGCCAGTGAGTTGCTTATATGTTTTT